ATAAAATATCTAACTAGACAGAGGGCACTCACGGAGAGTGCATACCTCCGCGAGCGTGTAACATGTATGTGTATAACAGCTGGCTCGCTGCTGGCTGCTGCTGACTGGACGCCCTAAGGCGAGCTTATGATGAATCGATCGCGCCAAAGCTACACACACACACGAACACACACACGGGACCGATTGCATGACCTCCGTTGCGCGGAGGTAATAACATTATACGTTACACGTGACGCCAACGCGGTTATTTATAGAACGTTTGTGCAGGGTCATCAGAATGAAGTCGTTGTCATGGAAACAAACGTTGACCTCGCGCTTAACCCGACGTACGGCGTTTGCTTGACTTTTTCTCGGGTATATAGACCGTAATGCAGACGTAGCCATTCCTAGCGACAATACTGATGCCGGTGCTGGCGTCACACACGCCGGTATGCGTGTTTAATATTTCAGCGCGTGTTATGCATATGCTTTTATATATATATATAGCAATACGGAAACGGAAAACAACAGAAAATGCAACTGCCCGAATAACGTAACGTGCCCCAGGGATGGAAGCTGCCTTGCTAAAAACATAGTATACCTAGCAACAGTGACAAGCGAAAACAAAACAGAAACATACGTCGGAACAACAGCTACCTCCTTCAAAGCAAGACTAGCGAACCATAACGCATCCTTCACTACGGAATCAAAACGGAACTCGACAGAACTTAGTAAACATATTTGGAACTTGAAAGACAACAACATAGACTACGCGACCAAATGGAAGATACTGAGCAAAGCGCCACACTACTCGAACACTACGAAGAAATGCAGAACCTATGCAACAGAGAAGTTCTACATGTTGTGCAAACCTGAGACCGCGGCACTGAACAAGAGGAACGAACTTGTTAGCAAATGCAGACATAAAGATAAATTTTTATTAAGGAACGTTAAGTGAACTCTTACAATGAATTCAGTTTACCGACAATGGTGCTCTAATTAGTATTTCATTAGAACGCGCATGCATGAATACGAACAATAGAACACATTATGCATGATGTTTTTATACTGCTCGGGATGTTCTAAATAGATTACTCTGTATTAGGCACTGATGAGTGTGGAGCTTGCGCTCCATACGAAACAGCTCTGTATGCAATAAACAGAGGCAAAAGTACAACCATGTTCTTATAACTTTATCTATATATAAATATAAAAATATATATATATATATATATCTCTATATATATTATATATATATAATACCTCACGCACACGCCACACATACGCGCGCCGTACACACACACGCTCACACAGTACGCAAACACACACACACACACTCGCACGAACGCACACTAACGCACGCACACCACACACACCACACACACCACACACACACACAGCACGACACACACACACACACCAGTTACACCTAGCACACACAGCTCACACCACACACACAGCACACGCAGCACGCCCACGCACACACATACAACACGCAACACGCACACGCACACGCAACGCGCACCGCCGCACGCCGACGCGCGACGCACACACATGGCCACACACGCACACACACACACACAAAATATATATATATATATATATATATCCTGTCTCACTATTGACGTTCATCTGCAGTAGTCGCTGGGGAATAGCGACACACAATCATTACAACGAGACGAATCGAAGTCGCGCAACGTTATGCCAAAGAGGGCGCTCGCATCGTCGTCCGTCGCGCTTCTGATTGGTCCTCTTCCCGTGACGTATTTTACTCGGTCGCCCGCTCTGTGCGGAACACCACGGCCGACGTCAAAACCAACGCAGACGCCGACCAGACCACGACCAGGACTCACGACTATGCAGTCCGGTGTTGTCATCGTCGTCGTCGTTGCCGTCGTCGCCGTGACAAGCGTCGCAGGGCAGACGAATGGAACACTGTACCGACGCGACGCGGCCGACACCAGCGTCACGAGCGCCATCCTCCTGTCGACGAGAGCGCGCAATGGCGTCCATTGTTCGAACATCTGCGTCAGGGATCCGCAGTGTTTTAGCTACAACGTCGGCGGTAAGCGTGGTCGGTGAGCTGGTGATGATGGTGGCGCTGGCATCGGTGATTTGGTACGCCACTACCATTATATACAGCGTGTGTAGTAACAGTAACTTGGTTCGTTACTGTCTAGGAGTTCATCTAAAAATTCTAAACTGGTAGCGTATGTTCGACTGCCATCCGTTTATGTACCAGTTCGCTAACAGTTTATCAATTAATATAATATATCTTTTATTTATTACTAAAAATTGGTATTATTACTAGTTATTATGATAGTATAAACACACGCATGTACATACAGGCAGACACGCACGCACATATACAGGCACGCACGTACGTACATACAGGCACGCACGCATGCACATATACAGGCACGCATGCACGCACATACAGGCGCACACGCACGCACATATACAGGCACGCACGTACGTACATACAGGAAGAAGCGCACGCACGTATACAGGCACGCACGTAGGCACATACAGGCGCGCGCACGCACATATACAGACACGCATGCACGCACATACAGGCACGCACGTACGCACATACAGGCGCGCACGTACGCATTTATGCACGCACTCACGCACATACAGGCATACAGGCACGCACGCACGCACGCACGGTAACGCTGGCACGTTGTGCCGCGCACGCACATATACAGGCACGCATGCACGCACATATACAGGCACGCACGTACGTACATACAGGCAGAAGCGCACGAACCTATACAGGCACGCACGTACGCACATACCGGCGCGCGCACGCACATATACAGACACGCATGCACGCACATACAGGCACGCACGTACGCACATATAGGCGCGCACGTACGCACATATACAGGCGCGCACGTACGCACATACAGGCGCGCACGTACGCACTCACGCACATACAGGCATACACGCACGCACGCACGCACGCACGCACGGTAACGCAGGCACGTTGTGCTTCACTTTTCGCTCGTCGCTTCTCGTTAAAGATGCGGTTGTCGACGGTTCGGTATCCTGCGAGCTGAGTCACGCGCGCGGTCACGACGTGTGCGGGGTCACGGCGACATCCACTCCCGGCATCTCAGCGTACATCAATAGCCAGGTAAATATCTAATAACTATTGTCTAACACCAGCGAGAGATAATTAAGTGTCTCGTCATGCATGGTCACGTGCAGTACATCTCATCAAGAGTACATAATAGAGAATAGAGTCTCTTGATCTCATTGCACTTCTCTCCTCATCCTCATCCTGCCCCCTCTCCCGCCACGTCACGAGGGGGGGGGTCACGGCGGCGAGGGTTCGAGTGACGGCAAAAAAAAATTCTACTACCCGCGCAAAGCGTGCAAATAATGACGGCTT